GGTTAAGTCCATTAATGGCTATTAGCCAGGATGGGTAAGGAATGGTGTCCCTAGCCTCTGTTTGTCTGAGGGTGGAGATGGATGGCAGGGGAGAGATCACTTGATCATTACCTGTTAGGTTCACTCCCTCTGGGGCACCTGGCATTGGCCACTGTCGGTAGACAGGATACTGGGCTGGATGGACCTTTGGTCTGACACAGTATGGCCATTCTTATGTGCCACATATGCTCTGGAATGCTCTGTGCCAACCATGCCGGACTGCTGAATTACTGATTTCTGCTAGTCTATTTTCAATACACTGAGATAAGTCAGAAAATGAGGCCAAATCAGAGCAGAATGTGTGAAATCTGTGTGAAGGTCAAAAGGGAAAAAGGGTTGGGGTAGGAAGTCCTGCATTTTCTGGTAAGCTGCAAATTCCTTCTAGCAAAGCTCTGGAATTCCAGATCCCAAAGTATTGGGAGAAAATATAACGTAGGGAGGAAAAAAATAGCTGATGCTTATAGTTGCAGAAATGTTTAGCATAGTTCCCAAGTGAACAGAGCTTCAGCGAGTCGGACCAGTATTTTGAACTCTGAACCCTCAGGAATTCTCTCAAACCAGCAGAATCAAAAGATGAGAAAAGAAGTGTTTGCTCTCTCCTCTGGGGTGAGTTTCAGAAAAAGAGGAAATACATAGTTGCTTGGCTTATACTGAAAATGTAGCAACTGTGTCCAGGGATTGTAGAATAACTGTTTCTCTCTCTCTCACACACACACACTCACTCTCTCTCTCCCTGCCTCCCTGCCTCCCTCCCTCTCTTTATTCACAGTTTTAGGACAGCATAGGCAGCAGCAATACAAACCTCCTACACATGCTACCCAACCAATGTACTTCACCCTAACCTGTAGAAACCCCATTGCTTAGTGGTGGTAAGACAGGAGCTCCGTAGTGGTGGCCCATTCAGTCTAAGGGCGCCTCGTCTGAGTTTTGCCAATAGGCTGTTGATTTAGTCCTTTAAAATGTGGTTATATATACTCTATCAACTGGACTGCGACAACTACTCAATTTAGCTAGGCAATTGAACTGCCCTCAGAATGTCACAAAATCCTCCAGAGATTTCGCTATTGCTCTATTGATTTAACGTGGAAGGTGCTCAGATACTATAGCTAGCTAGGTAGAGTGAGATTATATAGGGTCACTACAAACCTTTGACTGGTTTGGACCGAGCAATTAGGAGATGAAAGGCTCTGTCTCCCACGACAAGCCCTGTCACTAGCTCTCCCACAGTGGGAAGGATAAAGGCAACAATTTCCAGCTGGTTATGTATTGAACTCTGTTACTATAGTACCACAAATAGTCAATATTAAAAGGTAAACATAATGCAAAAATTAAAAAACAAGCGGTAGTTGGGGAAAAATAGGTTCAAGAAAAGCTATTAAGGAGAATGGAAAGTGCTGAGTGTTTGTCTCTGTAGGGCTTTAAAGTTATCAGTTTTTAACTGGGTTTGCTGGGATTAGGATGTGAACCAAGAGGAAGTTCAAAGAACAAAGGGCTCACAACCCTGAGTCTCAGTTACTGCACATCGCACACAATACATGTGATAAGGAGACTTTACAGAGGTGGCACTGTACATTTCCATTGCTCTCCCTAGGAATGTCATGCAGCATTCTCAGGCTCTATGTAACGGCAGAGCTGGGATGTGACACCCTCAAGGAAATGAAACTGGAACATTTTAAAAACCATTCAGCATGCATTAGACGAAAGCTGCTCCCAATCTACTGTGTGAAGCATTTATACACTGGACCCTTGCAACAGCAAGAAGTTCCCCACACCCTCCTGCCTTAGGACAGTTTCACTAAAAGCTGAGGTTAACTTTAACCAGTGCTGCAGTCTGCACATTTCACTGTAACGAGGCTATTTGGGGCTTTCATTTCACCTCATTGAGAGTTATCCCAGCTCACTACCGATAGGTTCCTCTGTAACTTCTGTAGTTGCTTGTAATGAAAGGAGTTAAATTTTTAGAATGGCCATAATTGTCCTTAGTACTAGTCTGGATGTTATAGAAATAAATGGAAAAAAGAATGTGTGTCCAAGTTCTTATTCTTTTTATGGCTACCCTTATCTTTACCCCCCCCACACACACACACCATTTCCCCTTGAGCCTAGCAATGTTACTTCCCCCTGATACCTCTGCAGCTCTATTCTTTTTTCTAAATGACATTTTTACCTACCTGATGTTCGATATCTCCTCTCTGGTCTCCTCCTTCTTCCTGGGGCTCCTTCTTCTTCTTTTATATTCTTCTTTTCAGTTGTTTGTTCTATACTCCTTTAATCTCTCTCTCTTCTCCCCTTCTTCTCCACCACTTTCTCTGTCTGTCATTTAATTCCCCCCACCACCACTTTCTGCCTTTCCCCCTCTTTCTCTCCACCTACTCCCTTTCACTGTCTCTCTCTCCCCACTGTCCCTCTCTGTCTCCTCCCCACTGCCCCCCCTTTTCTCTGTTCTTTGCACTTCCTCTCTCTCAAATCCAATTATCCATCTTTTTTGCTTCTTTAAAAAATATCAATTTCATGTGTTGTCCGCCATTCTTGGGCTTTCTCTGTCACCCTGGTCTGTTCCTCACTGCAGAGGCGTTGCACTGACTGCTGGCTTCACACTGTCCCGTCCAATTGCCAATACACATAGTTCATGCACCTCCTCTCTTAGATAACAAGCCCTGGTTTCAAACCTTCCTTTAAATTAAAAGAGATGGGGCTGCCCCCTCACTTATCCCAACCACAGCTAAGGAAGTTCCTATGGGACCAAAACTAAAGAGGGTGCTGGGTGGTGTTTTTGGACTCTTTTATTAAAACCCAACCAATCAAGCTAAGTTCCTGTGGTGCAGGGGGGGTCTCTTATTTAGCCAAGAATGCCTTGCACACAAGAAAAACAAAATAAACATTCTAAATATAAATACGTGCACAGCTCCAAAAGTTAAAATAAACCCCAAATACAGCATGCTTCATTTGGAGCACAGGAACATAGGAAATGCCATACCAGCTGAGACCAGAGGCGGGGCACTCCAGAATCCCATCTTGGACTATGGCAGAGGATGGGGCAAGAAACCCCTTTATGGACAAATGTGGAATGACCTGCCCACAGGGGACATGTCTTCCTAACACCTTCACATAGAGGTTGCCTTATGTCCTAAAGCAGGAGGGTTTATATCCCTTCTAAAAATGTTTTCATCCTAGCTAATGTTGGCTGTGCTCATTACCCATACACATGTCTACTCCCATCATTCATTTCTATTTAACGCTTGCCTTCAGTGGTGAAAACAAATGCTGAGATTCCAGCCAATCTGAGCTATGGCTGCTGGCAGAAAACAAAGCTGATGAACGTGTGATGTGGGCTTTGGCAAAAGAAAACTATATTCTGCACAATGGTTTCACCAAACGCTTTCTCTGGTAGCCTTCCTTCCCTGCAGTGACCCCACATGTAGTCAGAAGTAGTTCTTTCCCATCCACATTATACATTCACAGTGATCCTTACCTGCTTACATCAGCTAAAACAGATCAAGTCATTTGAGAAGCGAAGGTTGTTCTTGTGAACTGAGTGGAGGGCCAAGAACCAGGAACTCCTAAACTCTAATCACAGCTCTGCCACTGATTTGCTGTGTGGTCTTGAGCAGCAAACTTAACTCTTGGTACTATATGTCCTCTTTATAGAAAAATCTTATGTAATAGAAAAGGATAACTTTTCTACAGGTTTTGTTGTTGAACCTTCATATGTTATTAAATAGACAATTATATACCTGCTATGGAATTCAATTGCATAGACAAAAATAAACAAACAAAAATATGTGGAAAGGAGAACAATATTAAATTCTTTAGGTTATTTAGAGTAATTTCTATAGAGCCTTATTCAGTTTCCACAGAGCCCTATTAGCTCCATGAATTTTGATAGGATTTGTCCATAAAGGCACATCTATAAAAATATGATAATAATACGGACCTAACTGACCAGGGTGGTTTTAGGATTGACTTGTTAATACTTGTTTGCTAGAGAGGTGTATACTGTTGTTATTGTTGGATATGCTATGGTTGTAATGAAACTGCCCCTGCCTCTGCCCCTGCCCCTGGTGGTACTTTGCTGTACACACGGAATGATCTGATCTGCTTTTCCTGGCTTAGTTCTTTATTTTTTTCACCCTAAGACTGAACCAGGAGGATGCACTCTTCATTGGGTTGATCTGTAAACCCAGATAATATCTGGTTCAGCTAAATGAATATAGGGGGTTTCTGTGAGGCTATATATATGTGTGTGTGTGTGTCTGGGTTGCTCTGCTGCATGGATTGGAAGCATGATTCCTGAGAGCCAGATGAGCCATTTTTTTGTAGTCACATTTATTCTTTTAGTATAAAATCTTAAACGTTTTGAATATAGTAAGATGTTTTCCACCCAAATCTCTCCCTGCCCCAAAGTATTAATCCAAGACAGGCACAGCAAAAAAAGGTGAGGCACAAGAATGTCAGATTCATTTGAGTTCAGAAACAAAGTTTTAAAGAGTAAAAATCAGGGCAGATTTCCATCTCTAAGTCAGAAGCGAAGATCTTTCCTGAAGTAAATGGTTAGTTGCAAGCCTTGTGTTAGCAATAACAAAGCATTGCATTGCTTCGTCTTCTGCTGCTGGTACTGCTGACTACCTTTCACCTCCTTAGCATCTCAGAGAATCTCAAAGCATTTTGCAAACATGAATTTAATGAAGTCTCATAGCAGTCCTGCAAAGGTGAGAATTGTCTCCTTTTTACAAATAGGGAAACTAAGTCATGGAGGGGCTAAGTAATTTCCCCAGGGCTTCAGCAAGTCATTTGCAGAGCCAAAAGCTAAACCCAGGAGTCCTGACTGGCTGCCTATCCCTGACTCTAGCCACCAGACACCGTTCTCTGTCTTATAAATATACACACTCTGGTTAAATCAATAACCATCTCACACAAGCATGTTATTTTAATATAATAATAAGGAAACCATAAACTGTTACCTCTTTCTGCTGATTCTGGACAGGTGGATGGAACAACACACAATGCAGGGGGGTGAAGGTAACTATTAGCTTTGGCACAGACTCTAGGGCAGGCTGGAACCCATCTCTCTGCTAGTGTCCAGTGCTCAGTTGGGCTCCTTGTCTGAGGGAGGACCCTTTAAATGGAACACAGCCTCTTGTAGTCTGACACTAGCTGAGTGGCTGGAGATTCCCTAAAGCTTGAAGGATATAAGCTGGGGGTTCCCAGCTCCTGCACTCTGCCTGACATGCACTGGCAGCTGTCTGCCTATTGCTCTTTTAAAGAGTTGTCCTGGATCGGGATATAAATGTGATCTTACGCAGGCTGTATTGTAAGCAGCGACTTGGCCCAAGTTCAACTCTTCCTCTGGCTCCCAGCTACTCTATTTTTAATGAAGGATTTGGGGTTATCAGAAAGGAAGTCAAATTGTTTTAGGAAAACAATAGCAAAGCAACTAAAAGTTTATTAGCTTCCTCCCCGGGGTCTGGAACCAACTTGTCAAACTACTAAAAAGATGGCAGGACTATTTATTTAAAGGGCTAATGACAAGCCTCACAATTTCATTCCTGTTTGTCTTTGTGAAAACAAAGGAAAGTAAAAAAATAATATCAAAAGGGAGCAGACGTTTCTAATCTGTGAAAGGTGCAAGTAGGAGTTTAGGGTGGGCAACTCAGGACAGCTGCTATGGCTATGGTGGGATTTTCATGATAAAATGAAGGTCCACCCACACTTTTCCAAGGCACCAGAAAAAAATCTCCTTGCTGATGGAAATCTTCCATGCTAAGTCTTAGCTCAGCCTTTGCCTTTAAGTAAAAGTTTGAGGGGAACATTTCTTCAGGCATTTTGAGCTATTCAAAGGAGAAAAAATAATACAGCAGGCCAAAGGCAGGGCCAAGAATAGACCTCTGGTCTCCACAGTCACCGTCCAGTGCATTACCATTGGCCTATTAAAAATATTTACATTGCTCCAAACTAGCTGCAATCAGCTTCTCCATGTGGTTATACCGGCATATTGGCGACATGACTCCATTAAAGTCACTGGAGTCATGCTGGTATAAGAGAGTAGAGAGCCCCACTGCTACATCTGCAAGCATAAAACATTCAGGTTGGCTAGCCCTCTCCGAGCACTTTCACTGTTTGCACCGACAAGAGAAAGAATAAAAAAGGGAACTAGGTTCTAAGCATTTGCAAACTCCCTTTAACACAAAGCAGTAACATTTGCTTACGGTGCTAACTACTTAATTGTGGCCTTATCCTGCTCCCTTTGAACATGATGGTGAAACTCATCACTTGCTTCAATGTTGCAGGAATGGGTGCCTGAGAGACTGATCCTGAAAGGCGCTGAGCCGGCACAGCTTCAAAATTCTCACACTCCCAACCTCTGAGCAGCTCAAAAAGCAGGGATTTAACATTCCTCTGCTCTCTAAAGTCTCGGACAATATTCAGTCCTGGATCAGTGACAGGTTTAAGGTGTGATCTGGTGTCTTTTGTCATAATCCGCGAGGACTAGAGTTACCTGCTATGTCTCATAAGAGAGCTGTGCATGATCTCTGGAAGATCCCAAGATACTGGCTCTCAAAACTGCAAGAGCCTGATATACAGAAAAGGTATCTTCCTAGAGGTTTAAAAAATATGTTTACAATGTCTGTCACTCTGAGCTCTGTACAGCTTTTAAAGCCATGGTCCAGCACAGCATTCCCATTCAGCAAAGGCCTTAAGCACATGCTTAACTTTGAAGACATATTTAAATCCCATTTTGTTCATTGAAACTTCAGCATGTGCGTATAGGCAAGCACCTGCCTAAATGCATTGCTGAAGCAGGCCCTCACACAGCCTGCTTTATTGGCAGGGGGTTATGGCAGTTATTAGCTATACAAAAATATTTCTAAAGTATCATTTTTCTAAAATGTGTCACAGGCAAAACACATGATGGTGTTCGTTAGAGTAAATGTTTTAGGTGCACTTGTTTGGAGTGACCTGTGTAACTTATTCATGGCTTAGTAACTTACAAGTAATGTAGTCATCCCAAGCTTACAGCTCTAAAATCTGTATACTGGTGCCACACCCCCATGTATTCTCTCCATATTAATCACGTTGGCTCTGATCCTGCAAAAACTTGGGCATGTGAGTAACTTTATGTATGGGAACAGTCCTACTGTCTTGGATGGTGCTACTCATGTGGGTAAAGTTACCAGTGTGCATAAATGTTAATTCCATGGTATGTCAATTGTGTATATACTGTGCTAGTGCCCTCAACAAAGAGATAGCAGGCCACCATGTAGGATGATACTCCATGTCTGGCATCATGAAGGCAGATGTGATAACTTGGAAATTGTTGAGTTGACAGATACTGCCAGGTAAAAATACTCTGGGACCTCTATCTGCAGAGTGCTGCCATCTGGAGGAGACTAGTGCTGGCACCTGCTTCATGAGGCCACCTGCTCCTCTGCTAGCTGTGGCACTGGAGGGCTTCCTGGCTCCAGAGCATAAGCCTCGGAGGGAAGATGGTGCCAGAAGTGTACGAAAACAATGCCAGTGGAGAAACCTTTGGATGGGAACAGGTAAGAGGGCGTGATGGGGAGAGTGAAGAGGGGAAGACACACAAGAATGAGAGGTGAATTGCCTCACTTAAAAGAAAAAAAGATTTTTGCTGTGGGAAAAGAGGACATGGGGCCTGCTCCACAACCATGACGATTAACCCTATTAGGGAGGTAGAGGACCCAGGATCCAATCCTATCCTAAACACAGTGCTCTCGCCATAAGGACTGAAAGCTGGGGAGCCTTCCCTGACAGAAATCTCTTGGGGAAAAGTGATGAAAGAAGAACAGGAATACTGCTGAACTGGCTGTTATGGCAGTAATAGCATTTAAAACAATTGTCCTGAAGCACAAGGAGTTCCTTTGACAGGGCATATTGCCCAAAGCCTGATTGCTATCTTTAGAAGCATTCTTAAAATGTTTCAAGACATGACCCAGTAGGTAAAATTAAGAGCTGTTTAACTGCACAAATTAGTAAGAAAATATTCTTATTGTCCACTCTTTTTATTAGTGCTGGGGACAGCCTCAGAGACTGAAGTCTTCTCTGAACAAAGTAATTATAGTATGGGCAAGTGGAGGTGCAAGCTTCATGCTGCCTAGCCAACGTGTCTCAACCCTGAGTGACTGCCTCTAGGAATAAGAAGGTGTTTACTGTCCATGAGACTATTCATCTTTGGCCTGTCTCACTGACAGACAGTGCTGATTGTAGTGGTCTTTTTGGCGATGTGGACTAGGAACTGGACTAAGACCTCGTACCCTTTTCATAGAGGTTATTCAGGTTATTAGATAACACAGACCTGCCTTCCCTGATAAGCTTTGATCACTACCAACTGGGGCTAGATTCAAAGCACTAATCTAGAGGTGAAAACCTCTCTGTTCCATTACCCATCCCTGGAGACCTCTGGTGACAAGGATTCTGACCAATTGGTCAATCTAGTCTTATACAGGTGAAGAATGTGCTGTGGGTATATTATTGAGAACTGCAGAGCATGCAATAGAGCAGGGAATGGAAGGAGACAGGAAGACACCCCTGCCCAAAGACACACACACACAAAGTACAAGGTTGAAGCTATTTTGTTAGGATAACTCCAGCAGCTTGCACCATACTCTTAAAGCTCATGCACTAGACTAAGTTCCAGCAATGCTGCCATTCTCAGATCACACCAGTGTGGTGGACTTAAAAGGGACTCATCATTACAAAATCTGCTGAATTACCCTCTCATCCCAAGAGATGCTCCTACCATGTCAGACTTCAGGTTCTCTGGCCACAGGCACTGACTTTTGTTTTTCCCAGTGGGTGTTCCACCCCCACTCTGCCCTGAGGCCCCGCTCCCTCTAGGCCTCTTCCCCAAGCCCCACCCTTGCTCCGCCTCCTTTTGCCCCCACTCTGCCCCCTCTCCCAAGTCCTCCCCACCTGCCAGGCGCTCACTTCTCTCTGCCCCCCTTCCCTGAGTGCCTCCTGCCAGCTGCTCACGCATCCGCAGCCAGCCCTGGGGCCTGCCAAACAGCTGATCCACAGCCAGCACTGGGGCTGCAGGAACCATGGTAGCTGGTGGGTGCTGAGCACCTCCTATGTTTTTTCTATGGGTGCTCGAGCACCGGAGCACCTACGGAGTCGGTGTCTATGCTCCTGGCAATGAGGTAGGGTGAGGGAAGCCTGCACTTCTGCTGCTCATGCACACCGTGGACTTCACCTTCCAGGGCTATCAGTCTGGCACCTTGCACCAGCACCAAAATTCACTGGAAAAAGGTGACAAGAAAAAGACAACACTGCACTGAACTTTTTAAAAGCTCAGTAAAGTTTTATGTCCAGTTCCGCTTTCTGGATGAGTGAAGGTTTTTTTGTTCTGTTTTGTGTGAACCTGCTCTTCCATCCTTACCTGTACTTCTGGGCACCTTGGCCTTTACAGTAAAAGACAACATTGAATTCATTTTTTAATGGCCCTCCAACCAAGCATTGCAAATAAGAACCTACAATGTGTTAAGGAAACAGGGAGAATGAAGCCCCTGGAGTTATGTAGAACTTTTAATGGTTATGATTAAAGCACAGTGCAAAGCACGATTCATGAGGGACTGTTGGGTAGAATTTGAATGATATGTGGTGGGCAATTGACTAGCATGGGAAATCCCTATGTTATATAATGGGCAATATAAGACTAGTTTGTTTGGAGAATAAAATAAAAAACTCAATAATAATAATAATGGGGGATTTCAACTATCCCCTTTTGACAGGGTACATATCACCTCAGGAAGGGATGCTGAGATAAATTTTCCTGACACCTTAAATGGCTGCTTCTTGGAGCAGCTGATCCTGGAACCCACCAGAGAAGAGGCAATTCTTGATTTAGTCCTAAGTGGAGCACAGGATCAGGTCCAAGAGGTGAATATAGCTGGACCGCTTGGTAATAGTGACCATAATATAATTAAATTTAACATCCTTGTAGTGGGGAAAACTCCACAGCAGCCCAACACTGTAGCATTTAATTTCAGAAAGGGGAACTACACAAAAATGAGGAGGTTAGTGAAACAGAAATTAAAAGGTACAGTGCCAAAAGTAAAATCCCTGCAAGCTGCGTGGAAACTTTTTAAAGACACCATAATAGAGGCTCAACTTAAATGTATACCCCAATTAAAAAAAATAGTAAGAGAACCAAAAAAGAGCCACCGTGATTAAACAACAAAGTAAAAGAAGCAGTGA